GAGTTTGTCTTTTAAGCTCTTCATCCATTCATCCAAATTAGGCCATAACATGCTTGAATTGCATGAATTATGCTCTCTTGCTCTATTTGCCTACAAAACACACAAAGGGAGGCAAATAACTTAGAAATCTAAGAAACTAAGCAAAAGAAGTAAGTAAATAGGGCATGTATATGTATGAAATTATGAGCTTAACAGGATGCATTCGTTGAATAAAGTTGGTCGTTCCTCTGGAAATTGGACCCAACTAACTTACTTTATCAAATAAACGACTATTTGTTCACGCGAACGCAGGGGTTGTGTTCGTTGAGTAAAGTTGCCCGTTCTCAGGAAAAATGAGCCCAACTAACTTACTTTTTCAAATAAACGGGTTATTTGAAATTGGTACTTAGGTGAAGAGGGGTAAATTTTACAACACTCAAACAAAATGCAACAATCTTCACACAATTTCGACCTTGACCAAATACACTTATGACTAGTCAACTGCTAGTCATGAACAACCACAATCAAGAATACACACAGAGCATGCCACAATGTACCTGCAATCCTAGAAAATTACTAGTGACAACCTAGGCACTCAAAAGGACCCGTCAATCTAGGCATCCCCTGTGCTAGCAACAACTATGGTGAAAGTGTGTGAAAACATCATAATCAAGTAAACACCAAACAACAGATACTGATGACTAGTCAACTACAAAGACACAAACCCAGAATTCATTCAATGACTAGTCAACCACCAAGAACACAAACCCAGAAAAATAACAGAATTGCAAATCAGAATTTGTTCACCCAGAAACCCACTATTGGGAAAAAAACTGGGGATCATTAACCGACCAGGCAATCCACTAAGTAGAAAAAGCTTCTTACAAAGGAACACAAGCAAGCTCAAGAAAAACCTAGATCTATTTAGGAAGATGAGCTATACCTCCTTTGTGCAATTTTCTTCTCCAACTTAGCTAAGCTTGAAGCTCAGTTCTTCATGGCAATGGCAGCTCCTTCTCCAACTCTTTCATCCCATGGCACTAACTCACAAGCTCTAACTTGATAGAAACCAAAATTTGGATTCAAAAGAGAATGGCAAATTTCTTCAAGAAACCATACTCTTGAAGAAGTCAGTCTTGAATCTGACCTAGATATAAATGAGAGAGTGTTTTAATAAGCTAGATGCTGATTAGTATTTCAAAAGCAGTTTTTCAAAAAGAGATCAATTTGGAAAAACTCATAGATGAAAAAGATGGTTCTCTCATGAGGAAGAAGAAGAGAAAGAGCAAGCAAAACTTTCCAAAACTTCCACACCAAAAGAGCCAGCTGCCAAATGAGGGATCCTTTGGCCTTTACACCCAAAAATTCCCTAGGTCAGAATAGACACATGGCAGTAGAGGTTGCGTTCATTGCGTTCGTTGACACTTTTTTAAACAAACGGGCTATTTGTTCTGCGATTACAAGGGTTGCGTTCGTTGAGTAAAGTTTCCCGTTCCCCGGAAAAATGGACCCAACTAAATTACTTTTTCAAACAAACGGGCTATTTGTTCACGTGAACGCAGAGGTTGCATTTGTTGAGTAAAGTTGCTCGTTCCCCGGAAAAATAGACTCAACTGACTTGCTTTTTCAAACAAACGGGCTATTTGTTCACACGAACGCAGGAGGTTGCATTCGTTGAGTAAAGTTGCCCGTTCCTTTGAAAAATGGACCCAAACTTACTTTTTCAAACAAACGGGCTATTTGTTCATGCGAACGTAGAGGTTGCATTCGTTGAGTAAAGTTGCCTGTTCCATAGAAAAATGCGCTCAACTAACTTACTTTTTCAAACAAACGGGGTATTTGTTCTGCGATTGCAAGGGGTTGCATTTGTTGAGTAAAGTTGCCCGTTCCCCCGAAAAATGGGCTCAACTAACTTACTTTTTCAAACAAACGGGCTATTTGTTCACACGAACACAGGGGTGGCGTTTGTTGGGTAAAGTTGCCCGTTCTCCTGCAAAATGGACTCAACTGACTTACTTTTTCAAACAAATGGGCTATTTGTTCACACGAACGTAGGGGGTTGCGTTTGTTGAGTAAAGTTGTCCGTTCCATGAAAATATGGGCCCAACTAACTTACTTTTCAAACAAAAGAGGAATTTATTCACACGAACCCAATGAGTTGCGTTCGTTGAGTAAAGTTGCCTATTCCCTGGAAAAATCCCCCAACTAACTTACTTTTTCAAACAAATGGGCTGTTTGTTCACGCGAATGCAGAAGTTGCATTCGTTGAGTAAAGTTGCTCGTTCCTCGAAAAAATGGGCCCAACTAACTTACTTTTTCAAACAAACGGGTTATTTTTTCCGCGATTGCAAGGGGTTGCGTTCGTTGAGTAATGTTGCTCGTTCCCCGGAAAAATGGGTCTAACTAACTTACTTTTTCAAACAAACGGGCTATTTGTTCCGCGATTGCAAGGGGTTGCGTTCGTTGAGTAAAGTTACCCGTTCCCCGAAAAAATGGACTAAACTAAATTACTTTTTCAAACAATCGGGCTATTTGTTCATGCGAACGCAGGGGTTGCGTTTGTTCAGTAAAGTTGCCCGTTCCCCAAAAAATAGACTCCATTGGCTTGTTTTTTCAAATAAACGGGCTATTTGTTCATGCAAACACAAAGGTTGCATTCGTTGAGTAGAGTTGCCCATTCCATAGAAAAATGGGCTCAACTAACTTACTTTTTCAAACAAACGGGCTATTTGTTCCGCGATTGCAAGGGGTTGCGTTCGTTGAGTAAAGTTACCCCTTCCCCGAAAAAATGGACTCAACTAAATTACTTTTTCAAACAAATGGGCTATTTGTTCACGCGAACTCAGGGTTTGCGTTTGTTGAGTAAAGTTGCCCGTTCCCCGTTCCCCGAAAAAATGGACTCAACTGACTTACCTTTTCAAACGAACAGGCTATTGTTCACACGAACACAGGGGGTTGCGTTCGTTGAGTAAAGTTGCCCGTTCCCTGGAAAAATGGGCCCAACTAACTTACTTTTTCAAACAAACGGG